TCATCGAATATTCTTATTTTTCATTTCTTTTGGCAATGATGGTGGTTTTCATCTCTTCTCTCAGTGACTGATAAGACATCAATGCTGACTCTCGACATCCTAATACTACATTTTAACACAATTTTCTAGTTAAATGACTTATTATTTTCAAATTATTTTTAAAATTATACTTATTTAATTTTTATACACTATTTTTTTAAAATATAAAACTATAATACCATGTCCAATCCGTGTCCGTGTCTTATATTTTCAATAACACGTGTCCAATGTCCGTGTCGTGTCGTATCCGTGTCGTCGTGTTTCGTATCTGTGCATCCATAGACAGCAGCCACTCTTGTACTCTTATGTAGATGAGTACTTGGAGGAAAGAGATAAAACTGTTAGCAAAATTAAAAGAACACCTTCTAAGGCCCAACGGGATTATGAAGCAACAAGCTGATGGGCGTAGGAAGGACATCTAGTTCGAGATCGGGCAAAAAGGTTTTTTTCTTAAACTTTGACCTTATGGACAGAAGACAGTGGCCAATAGAAGAAACGAGAAGCTTGCTCCAAGATAACTAACGGTGCTATGAAATCTTAGAGAAAATGGGGCAGTGCATATCGGCTCTAAGTTACCCCACGGCTACTCTACACCCATTTTTCATATATCACAATTAAAAAGAGCATTTGAGATTGGTTTAAACGGATTGAATTTACCCGTCCGCTAACTGAAGATCTAAAAAGTAAATATTTGGAACCCATGAATTACAAGGGATGCGCCAAGGAGATGGAGGATTCAAAGAGGTGTTAATCAAGTGGAAAGAGCTTCTAGATTATGAAACAACCAGGGGGAACCTATGAGCAAATCAAGCAACATTTTCCTTCTTCCACCTTGAGGATAATGTGGTCTTTTGGGAAGACGTGTATTGATAGGTCGGTTCACTCCGACCTGGGCCCAAACCGAACCGACTCAAGGGGGTCGGCGTGTACCAGAGGCGGTGCAAACGCCTCTCCTTGCCACCTAAGGGGTCACCCACCCTCTTGCTTCCAAATTGGGGACGCAATGGGGAATTTAGTTTCTAAATTAAATGCAAATATGGAAGTAGGGAATATTTAAATCATTATTTTATTAGGAAAGGGCGAGGGGGCGGTGAGAGGCTTTAAATAGAGATGAGGGGGTAAGGGAAAAGGCATGGTTAGATTTGTGTTTTCTTGAGTCTCTTGGAGTTTTGGGCTATAGACCTAGCGTCTAGAGATTTGGAGAGACAAAATCCTCCTTTCGAATAGAGAATAACTTGTAACTTTGCTTTTGTTCTTTGCTTTGAGTTTTCAATAAAGTTTTGCTTTGTTTTCTTGTTCAAGCTTGGTTATTTTGCTGTTTTTTTGATCTAATTTGAATTATGATTGCTTGCGAACTCAAGTAGGATCCGGTAGGATTACTTGCGAACTTCAAGTATTTCCTATCCATGGGGTTTTGCTGGAACAAGATGGGTTGTGGAATTGTTGGAACAGAAAAAGTAGGAGGAAATGTGACTGTTTGGCGTTAGAGTTGGGTGTATAGTTACAGAAAGCGGCTAATTGGATATGTGAGACTGGATCTATAATGAGATGAGGCCGGTTGAGGTGGACTGGACGACGGACGGGTGGACACAGTAGGGAGGTAGAGGGTGTCAGCGCAAGGATTGGTCTTGGTCACGGGCGCTGGAGCTCTGGGTCGGCGTGAGACCAGTGGCAGCCGGTTGGTTTGACAGAGCGCAAAGGCCTTGCAGTGAGGATGAGGTCGAGCCGACAGAATGCAGCAAGGAAAAATCTCTGATAGGAAGATGGATGGCGGAACTAGCATCCGATTAGATGAGATCGGTTGGAAGCGTGCAAGCAGGGTTGATCGGGTGCTATCATGGATGCTGGCTCGAGCGGCTGCAGGATCATAAGAGGAAGATCTGGTGTTTTGATGGACTAGGTGTGGAGGCGGATGTGTTCGTTGGGCATCAAGGCTAGGTTGGATCGAGTGGGTCTTTAGTAGGGGTGAACAGTGCGACGCCAAATATGGCGTCGCACTGTTCATCGGCGACCGTTTGCCGTAGAAAATAGCGCTCCACTGGAGCGATGTCAAGCGCGGCAAACAATCGTTTGCAGATCCATTGGAGATGCCCTAAGACCCACTCGATCCAACCTAGCCTTGATCCAACGAACACATCTCGCCTCCACCACCTAGTCCATCAAACACCAGATCTTCCTCTTATGATCCCTGCAGCCGCTCGAGCCAGCATCCATGATAGCACCCGATCAACCCTGCTTGGACGCTTCCAACCGATCTCATCTAGATCGGATGCTAGTTCCGCCATCCATCTTCCTATCAGATTTTTCCTTGCTGCATCTGTCGGCTCGACCTCATCCTCACCTGCAAGGCCTTTGCCTCTGTCAAAAGCAACCGCTGCCACTGGTCTCACGCCGACCCAAGCTCCAGCGCCCGTGACCAAAGACCAATCCTTGCGCTGACACCCTCTACCTCCCTCACTGTGTCAAGCCCGTCCGTCTCCAGTCCACCTCAACCGGCCTCATCTCATTATAGAAATCCCAGTCTCACATTCCAATTAGCCGCTTTCTGTAACTATAGCCCAACTCTAACCAAACAGGTCACATTTCCTCCTACTTTTTCTGTTCCAACAATTCTCACAACCCATCTTGTTCCAGCAAAACCCCATGATAGGAAATACTTGAGTTCGCAAGTAATCCTACCGGATCTACTTGAGTTCGCAAGCAATCATAATTCAAATTAGATCGAAAACAACAATAATAACCAAGCTTGAACAAGAAAAACAAAGCAAACTTTATTGAAAACTCAAAGCAAAGAACAAAAGCAAAGTTACAAGTTATCCTCTATTCGAGAGGATGATCGTTCTCTCCAAATCTCCAGACGCTAGGTCTATAGCCCAAAACTCCAAGAGACTCCAAGAAAACACAAATCTAACCATGCCTTTCCCTTACCCCCTCATCTCTATTTAAAACCTCTCCACCGCCCCTCTCTCCCTTTCCTAATAAAAATAATGATTTAAATATTCCCTACCTTCCATATTTGCATTTAATTTAGAAACTAAATTCCCATTGGTCCCCAATTTGGCAAGCAAGAGGTGGTGGACCCCTTAGGAGGCAAGGAGAGGCGGTTTGCACCGCCTCTGGTACACCCGACCCCCTTGAGTCGGTTCGGTTTGGGCCCAGGTCGGAGGAACTGACTTATCAATACCGCCTTCCCAAAGAACCACATTATCCTCAAGGTGGAAGGAGGGAAAATGTTGCTTGATTTGCTCATAAGGTTCCCTGGTTGCTTCATAATCTGGAAGCTCTTTCCACTTGATTAACACCTCTTTGAATCCTCCATCTCCTTGGCGCATCCCTTGTAATTCATGGGGTTCCAAACTTACTTTTAGATCTTCAGTTAAGGTGACGGGTAATTCAGATCCGTTTAAACAATCTCCAATAGCTCTTTTTAATTGTGATATATGAAAAATTGGGTGTAGAGTAGCAGTGGGTGGTAACTTTAGCCGATATGCTACTGCCCCAATTTTCTCTAAGACTTCATAGGGCCCGTAGTATCTTGGAGCAAGCTTCTCGTTTCTTCTATTGGCCACTGTCTTCTGTCGGTAAGGTCAAAGTTTAAGAAAAACCTTTTCCCCGATCTCGAACTAGATGTCCTTCCTACGCCCATCAGCTTGTTGCTTTATAATCCGTTGGGCCCTTAGAAGGTGTTCTTTTAATTTTGCTAACAGTTTATCTCTTTCCTCCAAGTACTCATCTACATAAGAGACAAGAGTGCTGCTGTCTAAGATGCACAAATACGGACACGACGACACGGATACGACACGACACGGACATGGGACACGTTAGTTATTGAAAATATAGGACACGGACACGGATTAGACATGGTATTATAGTTTTTATATTTTAAAAAATAGT